TGTTATTATTAGTGTCCATTCATTTAGGGGAAAGAAGTTTGTATTTTGATTCCCTCTATTTAATGGAACATTAATCAGTGTGAAGTGTATGTTATGGTTCTGTTACCATAGCGACCACATGAGTAGAGGAATAGCAATGTCTCTATGGCTCCTCACTCTTGTTTTGACAAAACTGTGCATGGTGAATGCTATTCTCCTACTAATTTAGTCCCTTAGTTTTATGGGTTTCAATAGCCTATATATTCAAAATTACTTCTCTCATTTTTTATAGCTTTCTATTTTTGTGTGTAACTGCTATCTAACCTGGAATTCCCTGTTGCTCTAGATAGTTTCTGATTTGATTTTTGTTTCAAATATTTGTTTTACATCATGTTACAGACAAAGCCAAACCACCCATGGGGAAAATTGTCATCAAAGATTTAAAGTTTAGCTCTGTATTTGAAGCAACTGTGAAAGAGGTTGAAGAACATGCGAAAGCTAAAGCAGAAAAGTATGAGGAGGGAGAACTCTCAGACACTTCATCCCAGAAAACCAGTGAACACTCCGATGACCATCCTAGTGCTCCTAGTCTTGGATCAGGTTTGTATTATTTCTTTGTTTTCTGTCTCGCCCACGGATCTTTCTTACTTTAGTCTGCCTCAACATATAAGCGTCATGTATTACAGAAGGGGGAGAAGCAGCAGAACCCAACAGTAGGTCAGATGATATTTCCAAGAAATCTAAAAGGTAAACTTACATTTAGCGTATTGGTTGAGGTATTGGCTCATTTCAACCTATGATACCTTCAATACCCAATCCAACCTCTTGTTTTTAGGTCACGCAGTACAGAAAAAAGCTCAAGTCATCACAAAAAATCAAAACACAAGAGCAGGAGTAGAAGTAAAAGCCGAAGCCGGAGCAGAGACCGGGATCACAAGAGTAGAGACAAAGAACGTCACTGTCGACATAAAGACCGTGACAAAGACAGAGATAAAGATAAGCTTAAAGAGAAAGAAAAAAGCAAAGAGAAGGACCGTCACAAGGAAAGAGACAGGGTAGGAGAAAGAGACAAGGATAGGATTAAGGAAAGAGAAAGAGATAGAGGAAGAGATCGGGACAAGGATAGGAAGGAAAAGGATCATAAAGACCGAAGAAGAGGTCATAGTCGTAGTCGAAGCAGATCTCCACGTAGCAGCAGAAATCGTAGCTCTTCTCGGAGCCGGAGGAGACACAGTCGTGATAGACGCCGCAGCCGATCAAGGTCAAGGGATCGTAAACGAACGTAAGTTAAGTTTTCAACTGCATTAAATAGTTCTGCCGTATGAAATGCTTTCATTGTTCACTTCACTTAGCTGTAATTTATTTTTCTGACAGTTCTGGAGGTGACCACATAGACAAGAAGAAACTATTAGAAATTGCAAGGCGGAATGCTATGAACATGTTGCAGGCAGGAATATTGCCTGGCAATATATTAGGGAAAACCTCTGCTCCAACACCATCAGCAGCTGCTTCAACAGACAAACCTGAGAAAACTACTGCCAAAACTGTTGATGAACTCACTGGTATGTATCACTTCTTATTTTGTTAATGGTCATCTTATTTAAGTTTCTGAACATAAACTATTTTGTATAATTTTATTTGACAGAGTACTGTAAAGAGTTGTCAAAGAGAGAGAATATGGGAGAGTTATCTAGCCTAAGTGGATCAGAAGAAAGTGATTCAGAGAAACCCTTTCATCATCCTTTCCAAGTGAAGGATAGACCGTCATTTATATCTTTAAACATCAAGGTACTAGATATGATAATTGTGTTCTTGCTCCCCAAATCACTTAAAATTGTTTTCTAAAGTAATTTCCCTTTTATTTTTGAAGAATGCTGTGCAATTACCTCTGAAGACTTTGCAAGAAAGAACCATGGAATCCTCCCAACTTCGGATTCAATTTCCTGTTTCCAGTGGTATGCAGCACAACAAAATTGGTAAGACTGAATGCCATAAACTAAACACACTGAAGAATCATTTATTTAAATATAATATTCAATTTCTTGCTACTAAACAATTATAGAAAATGAGTGGGTCCCAGTCACACCTCCAAAAAAGGTTGACGAGAAAAAATCCGGATTGAAGGCCATCGAAGCACCAAAACCAACTGAGAAAAGCTCTCAACCCGCATCTACCGAGGTAAATTTTAATTCAAGTGAAATGTTTGACGCACCCCATTTTTATGATATCTTTATCATCCACACTTTATTTGTAGGTAATTGATATTGGAACTCTCGTATCTCAAAGGCTGGCTGCAATGCGGAAAAAACACGACAGTGAACAAACCCAATATATTGATGTGAGTATTTATAGCCTTATTCCCCAGACCTTTTCTCCAAACAAAGTAGAGTTATTTGGCAATTTTATGGCATGTTCCTCTCTTCAGCACATGTATGGCTGGAACAACGTATTACCGGGGCAGTTTGGAGGGGACACTGGAATTCGACCATTGACACCTCAGCAACTCGCATCTGGTGCTCAGGCATGGGCGCGCAAGGTAAGTTTTCTTTGCATGCTAATAGGATGTTAACCAGCATGTTTCTCTCAAGATAGCAGCTCTGTTTGTGGCACCTTCACTGTGTCAGGATGCATATGGCCACTTAACTAATTAAATTAACAGCAGTATCACAAAGGGTAGATTGCAGGCAAAAGACCATGTGATAAACTATAATTAGGGCATACTCTCAAGCGCACAGCTATTTTAAAGTAACTTACAGGCTTAAGTGTGTAGGTGTGTATGTATGTGTGTGTATGTGTTTAGTTGTATGTTGGAACATGTGGTATAGTGTTCCTTACACAATTTATTTACACTCATATTTACTCCTTGTCCGACTTGGCTTAGTACGCCTTGGAGTCCAAGTCCTCTTTCATGTTCGTGAATCATGAGTCAAAAGAGTTCTTTGAGCCCGAAACATTACAATATCAGGGTTATATCAGAATTTGTGTTGAACCATTAGGGTCCATTTGCTCAATTCTGGTGCACCGGCGAGGCTTTTCTTTCCAGTAGCTTTTGTTGGGCTCCTAAACACCGTGGTCGAAGGGATATCATCCGAAAACTAGAGTGGCCTTCTCTCCAAGTCGAGTAGAACGTGAGCATTGTCTCGAAGAAGGAGCCCAATGCAGGTCGGAAGGACGGGTGGAGACTCTACATCGGCACCCTTACACGCATCGGAACTCACCCTACTGACGAGTTACACGATGCTTCAACAGTATTGTCTCGAAAGCATTTGCTCGCCGATTCGCCAGAATTGAGCGAATGGACCCTAAATGAAGCTTAAAATCACATATGTGAATTCTCAGGCCCACCTATACTTAGTTTTACCATATAATTACTCTTGTGATGCACACATTGCCTCACAATGCCTATTCTGGGCCAAATAAGTCTTCAACTTGAACTGTGGTTCAGTGCCTGTTCAAGACTTCTTAGAGATCCTCAGAGTATTTCTTTGAGGCTCTCTAGGACCAGCCTGTCACAAATTTTCAGGTGCAAACTATGGTTTGGGAGCAGCCTCAGACCACTTCCAGTCTGGAGGTGGATTCTGTGGCTGTTCAGGATGCCCAGCACAATGGCATCTTTCCTATCATTTTATATCTAGCTCTGGTACTCCATGCTTGCCCAGACATATGCCACTCAGATAAAATTTTTAAACAAACTGTACACCAACTATCAAGTTTTGTGCTTTGTGGCATTCTTAGAAATATTTTTGGAGGGCATTAGGAGTGTCAGTTGCTGCTGTGCTGGGCCGTCCACCACCTGAGAGTTTGTTTCAGGCTTTTAGAAACACAGTTGGAGCCCACAGCAGATGCCTTCTGTAATACTAAGGTGGTCGCTGCACTGCAGGCGCTGTGGTGAGTAGATTTGACATCCGCATTAGTCCCTCAAGAACTAAGGCTGTCTGATTTTCACAGAAATTATGTCTCCCTTCGAAAGGACTGTAATGTGTCCTAAATGTTACTGGAGGGTTGAGAAATTAGATGTGAAGCTCCAGGTAATAAGTGTCTTGCTCCCTGGTCGTACTACAAAATTTTCATTTTACTCAACCATTGGATGTTGGTTTTGTAAATATGCCTGTGCTTTCCCACAGAAGTTCTATACCTTATCACACAATGTATACCTAGTTTAAGTAAGGAGCCTGTGTTTTGAACCGTGGTTTTGGTGGTGTTAAATTGATAAGTTTCTATCGGACTTTTATAGTAGGTATTTTCATCATAACTTTATTACTTCATGAATTTTCTCAGATTGCATTTAACTTCCTAAATGAAGTAGAAAATGTTAATTCGATTTTAATGCAGTCTATCAGAAAATGCTAGGGCAACTAGAAATGATTTTCCCTGTGTAAGGTTGAGTGAAAAGCAGCGAAACAGTGTAACCAACAGTTTTGACTACTTGCAGGACCAATTGCAAACAGCCACTCCTGTCCGCAGTGGTATGGGAATGACCCTGCTACAAAAGATGGGATGGAAGCCGGGTGAAGGATTGGGCAAGAATAAAGAAGGGTGTCAGGAGCCCCTTCAGTTAGAAGTGAAAATGGATCGAAAAGGCCAGTTAAAGTTGTTATTTTTCAATAACTCTTAAAATTCTTCCTCACATCTCTATCCTTGAATTTTAACACCATGTCCATTTCCTAATTTACAGGTTTAGTGGCAGCAGAAGAAATCCGAGCTAGACGTCCTCCACCTACTGTTAGCCAACCAAGGCAAGCTAAAGCAAACCCTGTTACCTTAGAAGGTGCGTCTCATCTAGCAACTCTTAAAACAGCTGTGAGAGCTATATAAAACCATTAACATGTGAATTCTGTTTTCTTCCAGGTAAACATCCTGTCTCGTTACTAACCGAGTACTGCTCTAAGCGTCACTTTGGAGCCCCTCATTTTGAACTGTGCCTTGAAAGTGGACCAGATCACAAAAAAGACTTTCTCTTTAAGGTAATTTTTACTTCTTTTTCAGTTGTAGGTAGGTAGGTAGGTAAATAGTATACAATACAGCAATGCCTTTTACTACTTGTTTTCTAGGTACGAGTTAACGGTCTGGAGTACACACCCAGCTCAGCTAGTCCCAACAAGAAGCAGGCCAAGGCAGAAGCTGCCACCATCTGCTTAAAATCTTTAGGTGTCCTTATAAGCTAATCAGTTCAAACTTGCTTGGTGGCAAGTTCAACTAATGCCATGTGATTGTGTGATAATATGTTGCATATTGAAATATATCAATAGCCAATGATATCAGAGCCTGGATTCAAGTTTATGTAACATTTAATGCCATCTTTTTGTGGGGGCATTCATTTGCAATAAGTTTGTTGGATCCTTTCTTGTTACTTTTGACTGTATGCCTTAGTGTGTTTTCAACATTAATTTTTAGTAGAATGACATAATTTTTTGTTTTGACTTGAATAGTCACATGTTAATTGAATTTGTTATGTTCTCATCGCAAGCCCATTTGTGTTCAATTGAGTCCAATTTTAGACTTATGAAATGCATGTGATCAAATTATTCCCTGAGGCTTATGAAGTATGTTTAAGCTGTTGTCAGCTTGTCAATTTTATCTCCGGTTTGTCTGTGATAATATTTTTTTTTTTTTTTGCCATCAATGTTTTGTATCCAAACAAATAAATTTGACACCAGGCTTTGATTAACCTTGGTGGAAATTTCAAATTACTTTTCTTTACTTGTTTGTTGCCAGCTTTTTGTAAATCTTAGCCCAAAGAATACTGTGTGACTGGTATCTCAAGTTTGAAATGATCTTTAATGTCAACTTTGAAAATATACACATTATTTACAAATTTCCGCAACTGATCACAGGAGCTTTTTTCTACAAAAGGAGATACTGGGGTAGAGCATATTATGTACGTAGGTGCTTGCTCTCAACATTAAAACAGGTAACTTTGATAAACATGTATTAGGGTAATAATTTACATTGATTCATCTTAACAGTTCAAGTTCAAACAAGATAAAATAAGCACCTCTACAACCTAAAGATATACTTTAATTATCACATGTTCGATCATTCAACTCAAATTATTTCTAACACAGTGGGATTAAAACTTAGTAAGAAAAAAAGCTCCCAAAGCAGTTTCACGTGTCATATAATGAAAGAACGCTCATGACAAGTAAGGAAAAACCAAGTTTACTAGAAAAAACAAAGTTCCTCCAAAGATGACTACAAACCACTGCCTCTTAAATTCTGCAACTAAGACTTCCAAACATGTTATGGGATTAGAGGTATGGGTTGGAGTGTAGAGCAAGTGCGCATAAGCACTATGATATATAATGAAGGTGGGTTTTATAAGTAAACTGAACAATGACTAGTTAGTAAAATAGTTATGTAAGGTACTTACAGCCAGTTTGGAAATTGGAGTTGGGAGCAACTGGTACCTCAAAAACATGTTTGCACTATCAATAGGTGGATTTAGATTAACCAAAGATATATATGTATACCTAGAGACAAGTTTGATGAGCAACTTTGAAAACCAGAAATAACTAAACTGTACAAATAATAAAAAACCACTGCCAAATAGAATCACAATAGTGAAAACTACTTATGCTCCAGAGCCACTTAGGGAAGTCAGCAAAAGTACAAGAATTTGGCACGCATCAAAAAAATATGTAAGGGATTAACCAGAAATAAAAAATAAATTAAGACTACACTCTCTGCTAGACAGAGTTTTTTTTTCTGAATAATAACTCTGGCACCAAAATGTTTAGAGAGAAACTTCTCTGTTATTTCAGAAGCCATCAAATAAAGCAAGATTTATTTTGGGGAAATCAACAAACAAAAAAGTTACTGTACTTTGAAATGCAGAATTGAGGACAAACATATTGCTCCCTCTGTACCTAAAAAAGGCAATCCTAACTTATGAAACGCATGTTGGTAAAAGATGCATTCTTATTGCAAGAAATTCTACTTAAGACAGATTTTTGGGGGTTGGAAAAAATTCCCACAGTAGAAATTAGTCATTGAAAATAAAATAAAAAAATAACAACACCAGAAAACTGCAGGGATATCTTGTACATATTAATAACTAATCTGAACTTTTCTCCAGTGTTAACACATGTCACTTCTTTGGTATTATTGAAGTTAAAATAAAAGAAAAGACAATAGATAGAGTGTAAGAAATATGCTGGGGGAAAAAAATCAATCTGACCGCACAAAAAATGTTTCTAAAAGAATCTCATATACCTGGGTCCAGCCCAAGGTAAAGGCTTTAAATTTTAAATTTGCAAATTATGAAAACCTATCAGTAATATTTTAACTGGTTCAAAGAGTAATGTGTTTGTTTAAATTTGTTCTTACTTTGTTTTCACAAATTCTGTCATAAATATTATTGGGTATATTAATGTGGATCTTTGTAAAAGTATAAAAACAAGATAGAAGAAAACTCAACAGCATGAGGTTTGAGCAGGTTCGGCTTCCTCTAAACTAATACCAGGACGAGAAAACCCCGTCTTGATTCCATCCCAACCATCTTCAACAGAGTACTCTCCTGACATTATCCGATCATAGACTTCTTGTGTGACTGTACGGAATGCCATTTCAACTCCAGAACCCGTGCGGGCAGAAGTTTCAATGTGTGGAATACTGTGGGTTTGAGCAAAACTAGCAGCTTCCTCTTCTGATATCTCTCGAGCTCTTGGGTTACTTAGAACTAAGTCCAGCTTGCATCCTACCAGAGCAAAAACTGGCCGATGAGGTTCAATATGTCTTTTGGCTTCATTCATCCAGCGTGGGATATGTTCAAAACTTTTCCGATTTGTGATGTCATAAACAAGGAGAGCACCAACTGAATTGCGATAGTAAGATTTGGTAATCGACCTACAGGAATTAATGTAATTATTCACATTATTCAACGAAAGATATAAGTAAAACATCTCATTGCATCATGGAGTGCAACTCACCTGAACTTTTCTTGTCCAGCTGTGTCCCACAACTGCAGTTTGATTCTTCTGCCATCATTTACATCTATCAGTCTCGCAAAAAAGTCAACACCAACTGTAGGATCTGAAAGCTACAAGTAAAGAATTAGAAATCATAGATTTCAGCAGTTGAATTGAAGAGTTGTTCAAGTATATCATTGAGAAACAATGCAACATGTGGAACAGACCCTAACTGCATGGTAGCAAAACACAAACATGCACAATTCAGATGAAATTTAGTAAATGCAAAGGAAATCTTCAAGTTTAGATACAATAGTCATGAGTCAGCTGATGACAACAACAGTTAACACACGCTTCAGCCAAATAAAAGCTTGTAACACAAAACAAAGTTCAACAAGTAAGATTTTTAATTAGCTATGCAAATTGACTCACCTCAGCAAATTTTCCATCTGTGAAATATTTTAACAAAGAACTTTTCCCTACTGTACTGTCTCCTATTAAAATCAGACGAAACTGGTAATCGAAAATAGGATCAACCATTTTACACAATGATGCACGTCAGACGTCAATTAATCAAACAGGAACCACAACATAAACAACAGTTGCGTTGTCAATATGTGCAATGTAGAACCTGAAGGACTGTAGCAGAAAACTAGACGCAAATTGAAAACAAGCCAAATTTTGTTGAACTTCAGGGAAACGTTTCTGAGTCACAGAATATTTCCCCAAACTTCGAAAAACTGAAAACATTCGAAGGTAAACCACAAATTAGACGAAAATTTGAATGTCATTAGGAATTTTTGAAAGATACTAATATTTCAAATAAAAGGAGCAACCCAACTTCATATTGGTAAGTTCACATAGAAGAACTTTTCACAGTTTTCATTCTTTGGTTGGCAAAGTGACGACCGTGATGAGAAACTACCAAGTACGCTGCCCCCACGGCACTCAGGCGACAGTGACGTAGGGACGCACTCGCGCTCTTCCCCGCGTCATACGAAGAATAGTCGTGGAAGAGACAGCCGACTTGACAGTTTCTTTATTTCATTTGTTCAAGTCCCGATTGAGACTCAAACCTTAGCCGAGCCGAGGTGACGACGCGGTATGCAGCGCCGTACCGTTCACAATCGTTGACTCCATCGTGGAGGGGGAGTTGGTGGTGGTGCCACTCTGAGTACTACATGGCCATCATCTCAGCCGTCGCGTCCTCCACCCACCGCACCACGACCAGCACCAGCGCGGTATCAACTCGCTCGCCACAGGAAGACAAATTCGGTCCGAGGATGGGCGACTCCATCTGGGAGGACAAGGAAGTGAGATTTGACGTGCCGCTCAGGTTGGTGTTTGAGTTTGGGACTTTCGGCCATCGTATCCATGGCAACGAGTCAACACGCAACGCGCCTATCATGCCTCGTGATGGTTCTCGAAGCCACAATTTGTTTTCCCTCAATTTGACGTCATTCTGACGGTCGAAAATTCAACAAATTAACGGATCCAATATGATGTAAAAACGTTCATGATTTGACGAACATGAAGACAACAACAGCGCAACATAGCAGAGCGTGCAATCAGGCGCGGATTAAATGTCCAACTGGGGGGGGGGGGGGGGGGGGGTGATACAGTATCGGTTGCCTACATTCAGGGTTTTTGTGGCGCAAATTGCCTTCCTTTCAGGCGGCTCTCTAGAGACCACACGGGGGGCGGGGGGAGGGTGATCGCCCCCTCCCCGCCCCTTAATCCGCGCCTGCATGCAATTCCTTGAAAATTGCCGATCTAGATTGGCTACGTCTACAGATTTCCCCTCCAAATAAAGAGCTACCTTCTGAACAAATATCCGAGTTTTTTTACGTCCAGCCGCATCAGGTGCAGGCGGTACAGAACGACAGAAAAGGGCTTTTAAAAGTACTGTGTAAATTCCCACTACCTTCCTCCCTTTATTCCTCGCGATTTCTCCCCGACCATCGACCATACTCCAGTCACCCCGATTACAAATACAATCGTATGGGGTCCAATGCTGACCCTGAACCTTTCCTGCCCCCCTCCCCGCTCCCCCATCCAGGTCCAGGACCAGGACGCGTATTTGTACGGCCCCTGCTCGAACAGCTCTGTCACTCGAACATCTGTCGGGCGCTAGGGCGGGCCGGCCGCTCCTCACAAGTGCTAGGCGGGCTGGCCTACCCAGCACGTTGCAGGCGCTCCGCGTGGGGGCCACCGTTCACACAACAGGTCGGTGGAACCCCCGACCGGCACAGGTCTTGCCGTCCAACGGGGTCTAGCATGGCATCGACGCCCGTATTTGATCGGGCAGGCGACGCACAAGTATACATCCGTCCATCTAATCATCCCTTCACCCACGTTCACCTCAATAACCACAAATACCTGTATACGGTTCATTCGGACCAGAAAACCCTAATGTAACCTACAGTGAAAATTTTGACCCAACAAACCATTTCAAAACTGAACAAGTCTTTTCCTTCGTTGTTCAGCCAGCTGAAGCTTCGCGCCGGGGAGAAGCTGATCGACAGGTTGGACGCCGTGGAGGATACCAAGGGCAACGACGGGGTGCGCGGCCGATTGGTGGTCACCAACTTGCGCGTCATGTGGCACTCGCTGACCTCCGCGCGGATCAACCTCTGTAAGCGCCGACTCTGCCTGGTCCATCATACGTGCACCCCCGGCGTGATTTTGAGTGATCTTGACTTTAATTCAAGGAATTCCACGAGCTCGCGTCTTTCATTGTAAACTCCATCTTTGTCCGCAGCCATCGGATTCAACTGCGTGCTGAACGTGACGACGAGGAACGTCAACTCGGTAACGCCCCTGTGACACGAAGCCGCGGGTGACCGCGGGATGACCGCCTGGTGACTCGTGGCTTTGCTCACCGGACGCCTGCTCCACTTTACCAGAAACAACGCGGAATGACGGAGGCGCTGTACCTGCTCACCAAGTGGAACTCGTCGAGGTTCGAGTTTATCTTCACCAACCTGGTACTGGGCAACCGCCGGCATTGCACCTCTGTTATGGGCGTACACAAGTGAGTGGGGCAAGGGGTGAGGCGTGGACTCGGATGAGAGACAGGACGAAGCCTGACTGGGCTGTTCGGTTGACTAGCGACTTTGTGCACCTCCTTGTATTTTGTTTGCACGGCATCGCTCGCATTAAGTTGCGCCTGTCAGACATGATCGTGGATACCACTGGGTGGTCTTCACTTATGGTGCACTTGAAGTTGAAGCAAAATGAGCCCCTCCGTATTCTTTACCCGCACCCTAGACGGGCGAAAGGCAAACCTGCACAAGTACAGTCTGTAAAGGCAATACACCACAGCGTTGCAGGTTTGCCTACCCGATCTGCCCGTAAGGCGCCAGAGCCCCTTGGGTATACCCACAAGGGGCATCGAGTGCATTGAGTCCACCAGGCGGCCGCCGTTGCCCTTGCTGCCTGCTGGCCTCCTCGTCCTGGCCCTGGCTGAGGGTTCGCAGCTTTAACCCCCCACCCATCCCCGCTGTCCCAGGGCGTACGGGTCGTCGCGGCTGTACCGCGAGCTGCGGCTGCGCGGCGCGCTGCTGCAGGACGGGCGCCTGCGCGTGCTCCCGCTGGAGCAGGTGTACCGCACGGTGCACGGCGTGTGGAACCTCTCCAGCGAGCAGGGCAACCTCGGCACCTTCATCATCACCAACGTCAGGCTCGTCTGGTTCGCCGAGATGAACGAGAGCTTCAACATCTCGCTGCCTTACCTGCAGATGGGGAGCGTGAGTACCGTACTCCCGGCCGCCAGCAGCTCCAGCCGGCTTACTCTAGAGTCTAGCTTACACGTGGCTCACCCCCTTACTCACCCTGGGTCACCCTCTAACTCACCCTGGCTCACCCTCTTACTCACTCTGGCTCACCCTCTAACTCAGCCTGGCTCACCCTCTTACTCACCCTGGCTCACCCGCGGCCGACAGGTACGCGTGCGCGAGAGCCGCTTCGGGCGCGCGTTGGTGGTGGAGAGCGGCGAGCGCGCGGGCGGCTACGTGCTGGGCTTCAGGATCGACCCCCCGGAGCAGCTGCTGGCCGTGCACAAGGAGCTGGTGGCCCTGCAGCAGGTGTACGGCTCTTGCCCCATCTTCGGCGTCGAGTACTCCTGGGGCGAGCAGGTGATCATCCGGTGTCAGGGTGTCGCGAGGGATGGCTCGGCCGCTGTCCCACCGCGGCGGCGGCGGCCTCGGTCTCCTATCATGGCTTACAGAGTGTGGTTCCTTGCAGGCATCCTCGTCGGTGGAGCCCGCACCCGTCAGCGAGGACCCAGAGGAGATCGGCGAGCTCAACAACGACATGTCCAACGCTTTCGTGGCGTACTTCGCGGACGGGCGGGCCGGGTCGGACCGGGAGCCCGTGTACAGCGCGGAGCTCGGGCTGGCTGTGGAACGGCTCAAGGAGGGATTCAGCCTGCAGGGCCTCTGGGAGGTCATACCCGCGGCGGCGGGGCCCTCGTACTGAGTAAAGTGTTGGTATTTCGTAAGAGGTCGGGTGTTTACCGTGCGAACGGTAGCGTCGGATGATATTGAACGTAGGAAGGCAGCGGATGTGCCGACCCCCGGCAGAGTAATGAGGGGGAGAATCGGGGGAGAACTTAGAATAAAACAAGTGAAAAAGTAGATCATTTCGCAATCGTGATTCCCTTCCTCAGACCCTCGGACAGTTTGCATGAAATGCCATTTTCCACTATTGCAATTGGGAAAGCGGAATTCTGGTGCAACCATCACACGGTTACTAACCGGTAGAATAAAACCCAGACATTTTCTAATTATATTTGATTTACGAATTCTGTGGTTTTCAAGAAACATACCGCATTTCATTTGAAATATTTTAAAAATAGCTGTTGTGACACACTTGCGCATCTGGTGTGGCTCCCAGTAAGCAATATCTGCTCAATGGGCTTAATGTGATGAGGTGGGTTGGTAGAACTCCTCCTCGTGGAACTTCACAAAAGATTCAAAACCTCTCGCAGGGGCGCGTCGTGTCATGTCTGCGGAGCACAGTTATGCTATGATGTAGGCGTGTACTCGCGCCGCCCCTCTTTTCAAAGAGGCTCTTTGTGGCTCTGTGCTTATACTGTTCGTGAGGGGGGGAAGCGTGAAATAAAACAACATGATTGTTTTATCCATCAATTATTATTGGTTCGACCTGGCAATTCGAGTGAAGCTCTTTTCAAAGTGGCAAAATGCTACTGACTTTAATACAACTCAAACCCATCAGGAAATTTTACGCTATGCAATGTCTTCAAATTATAACGAAGATTTTTTTTTTGTTGTTGTAAAATACAGGTAATTTATGAAATTTATCATTTTGTTTGTGGCCTTTAGAAGGCGTTCTGCCTTTTTAAGACAGACAGACAAACAGACAGACCGACAGGGACAGACAGACAGACAGACAGACAGACAGACAGACAGACAGACAGACAGATAGACAGACCGACAGACCGACAGACCGACAGACAGACACAGTGCGAATATTCATGCCCGTTATCCAGTTTAATGAGTTCAGAGGGTTCAGTAACGCTGAGAGTAACGCCCATAATGGGAAGCGCTAGAGTAGCGATCGTGGAAATTAAGGGTGTTGCTTGATGTCTCCATAGCACGGCGCTCCACAGGCTCCAAGGTAATGAGGTGGGTGGGGTAGAACTCCGCCTCTTGGAACTTGACGAAGGATTCAACTCGCTTCCTGGCGGGCCGTGTCGTGTCGAACCTGTGGGCACGCGAAAGCACGTGAGGAGTGAGTTGCAAAAGCATGGAAGTCGGCTATGAGCGCTGTTATTTTATTTTAGGTGTCCCTTTCTTACCTCATAGAGACCGGTAGCTTGGTCCTGGAAGGTCTGAAAATCTCGCTGTGATATCGTTGGAGCACCTCACATTGTTCCCACTGCGGGAGCAATCGTGGGATGTGCTCTCTGGGTGTGTTCTGCGGTGGTGCGTACATGTCTCCGACGAGGACGTCGAAAACGAACACGAACTTGTAGCTGTGGAATAAAGCGGAGGAAAGAGTTACTAACCAGCACCCGCCAGACTGAATGTGGGCAAAAGTAGAGCAGCAACCGAGGCGACCACGAGACTTACCCCATGTCATCAGGTTCGGAAAATTTCAAAGCGTATGGAGCACTCTGCGTAAAGTAGAATCCATCGCCGCAGTAAAACTGGCTATTTCCTGGAACATTGTAAGACAAGGGTACATTAAAATACACTGATATATAAAGTGTGCAACTGACACACACTTTAAAGTGTTTAACACCGTGTGGCATACTTCTATGTGTGCAACACGAGTTTTGAATAGTTGGAAGTGTTCAACAGGTGTGTTGCACACTTTTAAATGTTCAACCTGACCGTCGAGCACTATAGCTCAACGCTCAAGTTGTAGTCTCTTGGACAAACCATTTGCACTCCATAAACGAGACGATGTCTCTACGGAAATATCCCAGTATCCCAGTGTAAAATTTTTCCGACGACATGGTTTTGACATCGTTTTCCACACGATCTCCTCCAATCTCGCCTCAAACTTTGAGAAATCTTCTCTCAAATGAGGAAAAATCACACATTTTTCGAGTAGACTCGAAATCTGAGGATTTTTCCTCAAGGGAGTTCCTCTAGGGAGTTCCTCAAAGTTTTCCCTTTTCCCTCAAAAACTGAGAAATTGTTTTTACCGTGCACAGCCCGGCTAGACGGAAGAATTTTACCGGTTGAAGCTCACCCCTCTAACACTGGTAAAACAAAGGTAGGATATCCTACCTTGAAAAGGCGTTAAAGCTCCAAAGGCATTGCAATTTATGTTTTTTCGAAATATTTCTTCCCCATGGAACAAAATTGGATTCTGAAACCTATTTTCGTAATCTACGCAAAATTCCGCGTCAAACGAGCCTACATATGATGGGGTTCTGTTCAAAAATGGCATAAATTGATTTCATTTTTTGTACTTTTTGACTTGCTTTTCATTTGCTGACCGCTTATCTGAACCCTATCACATGTAGGCTCGTTTGACGCGGAATTTTGCGAGGTATGCGATAATGAATCTCAAAATGTGATTGGTTTGCTCATATAGAAAATATTTTGAAGAAACTGAAAATAAACTCTTTAGCACCCCTAAAAAAGTTTAACGCCCCTGGAAAGGTAGGACATCACACCTTTGTTTTTCCAGTGAAGGTGCCCGTTTACCGCTTGCATAATGAGACGTGCTTACGCTGTACCGCATGCAGGCGTGCGGGCGGGCTTGCCTACCGTTTCTCACAAAGGCGCCTTACGGCCCCGTGTGAGTATGCAACGCAGCATGCGGTACAGTATAAGCAAAATAAAGGAAGGGGCCTGTGGACCACCCTGTATAGTGCTATACGCGGTTTAACACATAGCGGAGGAGGGGAGGGGGGTGATACCCGCACGGCTATGGTAATAAAAACAGAGGCGCCGACACCGGGGGGGGGCAGCGGGGCAATGCCCCCCCTAACTTTTGGCCAGGGGGGGGCAG